GGTAAGCCATTCAGGACTGAGATGCAGAAGAATTTCTTCACTCAGAGAGTCATGAACCTGTGGAATTCTCTACCCCAGAAAGCGCACAGGGCCAGTTCATTAGATATATTCAAATGGGAGCTGGACATGGCCCTTGCAGCTAAGGGAATCAAGAGGTATGGAGAGAAAGCGGGAGTGGGTCACTGAAATTGCATGATCAGCCATGATCATATTGAATGGTGGTGCAGGCTCGAAGGGCTAAATGACCTACTCCTGCTTTTAGTTTCCATGTTTCTATGTTTACGCTGACGACTTCCTGTTTACTGCTCTCTTCTATACCTCACTAGTGTAGACTGCAGTTAGTACGATGATGTCAAGTTGCAACTTCATAGCCATGCTGATGTTGTTGGAATCTCAATCGTATCAGGTCACTGGAAGACCGATGCTGCATTGGTGATTCTTGAGCAGATTTTGATCTCTACTTCACCCTATAATAGCACCGCAAGTATATCCAGCAAACTCCTTGTTACCAATGCAAAACTATTTAGTGTGAAAGTCAGTTGATGGCTTGCAATTTACAATTACAATTACTTTCAAATTTTGATAATCCTCCCATGAAGCATCTTGAAATGCTTTACAATGTTACGGGTGTTATATCAATGGAAGCTGTGGTTGTTGTGTAGCACAGAAGTAGTGGTGGAAATGGGTACAATTATACCATTTAAAAGGATGAGTATATGAATAGGATGGGTTTAGAGGGATATGGGCCAAATGCTGGCAAATGGGACTGGATCATGATGTGGAAGTATCGGTGTTGGACTGGGGTGGACAAGGTCAGAAGTCACACAACACCAGGTTACAATCACAAGCTTTCGAAGCGCTGCTCCTTCATCAGGTGAAGTGGAGGGTAGCGCATGTGCACAGAATTTATAGGTGGAGAGATGATTGCAAAATAATTCTAGGTAATTGAGAGTGTCAGAAGACAGTACAAATAGTGTGAATAGAGTGTCTACAGACTGAATGGAAAGTCTTTGCAGGTGATCAAAAGTGTCAAATGGTGTGAGTAAAGTGTCAGTATCTGAATAGCAAGTGAAAGGGTGACCTATGATCCAATTATTTAAGGCAGAGAGATAGTTACAAAAAATCAAAAATAAGATGGTGCTGGAGACAAACCAAATGTCTGGAATAACATGATTGGTAAAAGAGCTGCATGACAAGGGACCAAATCAGTTTAGGATATCTGGTCAGCACGAATGAGTTGTACTAGGAATGGCAGTGGGGAGGGGGGTAGGTGTGGAGAGTGGGTTCTGTTTCTGTGCTGTATAACTCTATGACTATGACTGTATGACTTAAAATGAGACATGAATACACTGTGGTCATGTTTAATAATCATTTAAAGTTTACCATGCTGAGTTCATGCAGTTACAGAGACCGGATTGTTGAATGCCAATTGGGAAGACTACAGATAAATTGAAGTTAGTAAGTACGTGTCAATGGAAACAGTTTTAACAGGCTGCTTAAGTAACCTTTGCTGATGTATTATTCAACATCCTCAAAATTGTTTTGGAGTCAGTAGCTGTGCAGTGTCAAATTCTGCTCCCTGCCAATTTCACCAGCTACTCCTAGATTTCTCTGGCACCACTTTCTGCCTCGTTCAGTGAACAGCAACCCATTAAAAACAAGATGAACTCACATCACCCCCTTCCAACAAGTGCCTGCACTCAAGGAACTCATTCCCCAGAATGCAGCACTTCCTCTTGAACTCGCATGACCTCCCTTGCTGCGAGTGACAGAAGAGTTCACTGATGCTGTGCTGGGTTCGACTGAGTCAATGAACTCACTTCACCCTGGTGAAGTCAGCCAGTGAACTCGTCTCACCCGTGCCCACAATCCTCCGCTGCAGTCCTCCCAGACCTCGCTCGCTGGCTGCATCATCACAATCTTGGTACAGCAGAGACAAAATGAAATCAGAACTGAGCACTAATGGGTCTGGCAAGATGCAACTGTGGGATCACATTACAAACATTGAAGGCAACTTAAATGTTGCCTTTGATTCTCAAACACACCATTGTGCTATTTGAATAAATGCAGCTTTGACTTTGTTTTATAAAGTAACTTTTTAGCAATGATTGCAATGCATGTAATTTCATCATTCTTCTGGGTAATTTAAAAATAAACAACTTTGTATTAATCTTCAGAAGTTTATTGCTGATTTTGAGCGTTTGATGAGCGGTAAATAGAATTTGGATTTCTACACAGTCTCTCACATTCATGGGATACTCTGAATCCCTTCAATTACTGCTGAAGTACGGCCTTTGGTTTTTCTTTACAGGCAATTGCAGTAAACAAATTGTGCAAAGCAAGATCCCACAGACAGCAACAATAGAACCAGTTAATCATTTCTGACTGTGTTTTTGGATGGAGGAACTTTAGATTAGACATGAGAAGAACTCCTTACTCTTTGAATAGTGCTGTATGATTTTCAGTCTCCACTTGAATTCATCCAAAAGATAGCACTATTGACAATTCAGCACCACTACACTGAGTTGTTGCTGTAGAGTATACATGAGATAAAAGTGATGCTGATGGATGTAACTACCATCCCACATCTACCTAGCACCCTAATCCCACGCTTTCTTCCATATTTACCCTTTCGCGACAGCTGTGATAGGGGCCGGGTTTGCTGCTAATGATTAAATCTCAGAACACATTGACTGACTGCTGCAAAATCAGGGTGTAGATTCCACGCTGATTCTCTTTACCAGTGGATTCATAGATTCCTGGTCAGGCTCATCACATAAAGCAGATAACAGTACAGCTCAGGAACACGCCCTTTGGTCCACTGTGTCTGTACCGACCATAATGCCATTCCAAACTAATCCCATCTGCTTGCACATGGTCCGTAACCCTCCATTTCCTGCCTGTTCATGTGTTTGTCTAAATGCCTCTTAAATGTTGCTATCATATCTTCTTTTACCAACTCCCCTGGCAATGTGCTCCAATCACCCTCTGCATGAAAAACTTAACTCGCACATCTCCTTTAAACTTTTCTCGTCTCACCTTAAACCTATGCCCCTTGTACTTGAAATTTCCACCCTGAGAAAAAGGCTCTGACTATCCACCCTATCCAGGCCTCTCATAATTTTATATAATTCTATCAGGTTGCCCCTCAGCCTCTGACACTCTAGTGAAAACAACCCCAATTTGTCCAACCTCTCCTTTTAACTCATACATGCCAATCCAGGCAACATCCTGGTAAATCTCTTTTACATCCTCTCCAAGGCTAAAACAGGAGGGTCCTCCCCAGCAGTCTTCAGTGCAGAAGTCATCTAAGGTACGTGAGGAATTTTTAATGCAATCAAGGCTGGAAGTAGGATTTCTTACATTGATTGGAATATCTGTGCTAAAGACTCTTAATTAGGTGAAATGTAGGAAGGTCTCTGATAGGGCAGGAAACATGAGACTTTAAATAATAAAAGAGTTGGTGGGGCAGGGCTAACAGGAATGGTAAGTCCATAACCTGATTTCACTTTCTTAAAATCAATAGTGTTACATTCTTAACTCTTCCCAGTCCTAATGCAAGGTCCTCATCCTAAAAAATTAGGCTGGACTTTCATGGAGTTAGGGATACTCCGCAAAGGAATACACATAACAACAAGGACCCACTTCCAGAATTCCTGACCATATTCCAGCACCAAGAATTTTTACCAATGCTGCTTAAGGACTGATGAGCCTGCACTTCTGGCCTACTCAACTGCATAAGTGATATTGGAATGCCTTGGTCTACACCAATTTCCATGGATCCATCCTCAGTTTAAAGGCCTCAAGGTTCTTGAGTAGATTTGTAGCTCGGGTTGTGGATGCTGTGGTTGGTTGGCTCGCCGAGCTGGTTCGTTGGTTTGCAGACGTTTCATTACCCTGCTGGGTAACATCATCAGTGCAGCCTCAGATGAAGTGCTGTCATGTTTCCCACCTCGTATTTAAACTCTGGGGTCCATTGGATTTGATTACCTCATTTCCAGTTTTCCTTCACAGCGGTGTATGTATAGGGTCTATATATGAACACCAACTAGCAACAAAAAGACACGAACAAAAGATACTCACTCATCTCCATTCACATGGATAAGGAGAACAACCAGTTTGATTGGGACAACACCAGAATCCTAGGACAGGCCAAATAGAGAGAAGCACGGGAATTCCTAGAGGCCTAGTTCTCCACCAAGAAGGCCGTCAACAAGTGCATAAAACTAGACCCTATATATACTCCACTGCAAAGGAAAACCGGAAATGAGGTAATCAAATCCAACAGACCCCAGAGTTTAAATACCAGATGGGAAAACACAACAGCGCTTCATCAGAGGCTGCACTGATGATGTTACCCAGCAGGGTAAAAGAAACGTCTGCGAACTAACGAACCAGATCAGCGAGCGAATGAACCACAGCATTAAAGGACTCAGTTTACATCAGAACATTGTGACACATTGTCTGGATGAGGGAACTCATTTTCACAATACCACTACCATACCAAAACCCTGATCGGGCCTGCAGGCTGTAACACCCTCTATGCCAAGTGCCAGAACATGAAGGTGAGCCTTTTAAACAGCGTGTCCTGGTCTCCAGCAGCACCTATGGCTTTATCACAACTGTCTGATGCCAGTAGCTTTTACTCTTATCAGCATCCACTGGCTGCACCCAGTTGGAGAACAGTGTATTGGCCCTGCCTCTGAATGCAGGCACATTGAGCAGGGAAATCTCATGGCTCCTGCTTGTCCGATCCATGCACATGAAATCCAGTCCATTAATTCTGTTCTTGCTCCATTGATACATCCCGACCCTCTGAATGTTATCAACATCCTCTGTTTGTATTTACTATTTTGCTAAAGTAAAAATGGATAACTATCTGCCTAATTTCCAATTCGATGTGGTTAAGTGACCCTGGTCCATGAGATGGTACAGAACCAGACCCAGCTGCTGTGTCACTAACCCATCCAGAGCGGCTCCCGCTTTGAATCTCCCGCCCGCGCTGACGTCACCGCCAGGCGCACGCCGCCGGCAGCGCGGTGACGTCAGCGCGACGTGTTGGAGATACGCAAGGCGCGAAAATCCATGGAGAGAGAGAGACCCGGAGAGAGAGTGAGTGTGAGAGAGGGAGAGAGAGAG